GGTCACCACAAACGTCTTCCCGCACAGCTCCGCAGGGGCCTTCTTGTCATTGGAGAAGTCCCTGCCGGCGACCGCCATGCCTGCAACTGCCAGCAGCAGCAAGGCCAGCGAGAGTACGTGACGTGCCATGATTGGTTGAGGAGTAGATACAGGATAAGGTTTCAATAATTGATTGGTTGCCTATGTATTAAAGGCAGGGCACAAATTTCAGCTGCTTGATACCAGGAATGGGGGCGGCTTTTATAGCGGTGGCATTCAAGGAGGATGGAGGTATCCCTGGAGCCCTTCCTGAGCCTCCTGGTCAGGACCGATTGACATGACCCGTGGACATGACCGTGTGAGTTGCAGTAACGATGATTAGGATTGGCAGTTGCTAGTAACATGCTTGTTACGCATGGTGGCTCACTGCATCAAGGTTGTTGTAGCTGCCTGGATTGAAGCATGCCACGTAAATGGCGGTGCGGCTGCAAGATGAAAAGGATAGTTGGGGCAGGATGGGGGCGCCGGTTAGTTACAGTTGCTAGTGATCTGCGCGGTTGCAATCAGATGGTGTGAGATGGTGCTTGGTGATCTGCACGTGGATGTGTGGCTGGGTGCAAATTCCTAAAGATGTCTGCAAGCAAAGGTGTCTGCAAAGGTTGTCATAGTGTTCCGGACTAACAGACGTGACTACAGACTGCAACTGTCAAGCCGTTACGGTCAATGAAGGAACGTAGCATATGCTGCCAACAGCTCCGGTTTTGGGTTTGTATAGTTAAAGAGCTTGGCAACTGTTGGAGCAAGTGTGTTAAGGCTGTGATGAGTAGCATTTTGGAACCGAAACAGTGGCACATGCGTATCTATGTACGGTTGGGACGTGGGGTGTTGCAGCTGCAGCATTGCGTACCAATTACCAAGCTTGGTAAAGGAGAATTTGTTTAGGCTAGCCAGACTGCCAATTAATTACATAGCCATGAATGGTCTGCCCTGCTGCCCTATCGACCTGCGCTTCGCCTTGCCATATGCCAACCCGGCACCAACACTAATGAATCGGACGCCCATCATTGGCAGGGCAGTCTACGCGCATCTACAGGTTGACACGCCTTAACAAACGCCGTGCCCCTACATATCCCCTAGTTAATCGCCTGTTGCTGCTCAGTAGTAGCACTGCGGCGCCTTGTCCAGCCTGACGGTGTACTGCCAGGTCACTCCGCCCTCCAGCACGTTCATGGACACCACACCCGAGGCGCCGCTCCACACGCCCGTGCCGCCGGTGATGGCCAGGTCGGACTTGGCGCCCTGGGGTGGGAGGAGCGACGAGCAAAGCAATGAGCGTGTGGCAGTGGCTTGGAGATTCGGCTTCGCATGCTGTCCCTCAAGCCCTACGTACGGCAGATCCTGCATGGAGCCCTTGCAACAGTCGTGGAGGCTTGCGTGTCCCATACAACGGCCTGTAAGGCCATGGTCCCCGTCCCGGCCAACCGGGGGCGCACCTACCGTGAAATCCGGGTAGACGCCCTGCACGGTGATGGATCCGTACTTATCCGCCACAATGCTGAACATGGCGTAGTAGTCGCTGCGATCTGCAGTCGCGGTGAAGGCCGTGGAGACGCCGGTGGCAACACCAATCTGGGAGGGAGGGGAGGAGGGAGCATGGACGCATGCACGCATCGGATTGTCAGCGGTGCAGGAACCGACGTCAAGCGACTGCCCTGCGCATTACGCCTGCCAGCGTACACACAAACGACGCCTAGCAGCTTGTGGCTTAAACAGGAAACAGGCAGTGGGAGAAAGGTGTTGCTTTGCTTACCCTCTTTCCCGTCGGTGTGGCGCCCAGTGCTAGAGGGTTACTGTAACCGGTGGTGCAGTTGGCCTCAAGGCAGCCCCTGCGGATAATCAAGATGGACAAAAGACCCAGAGGCGGCAGGGCATTGTCAGCAACAGGTGTCCTGTCTAAACCGCTGTCCTATCAGCTGCTGCAACTGCCACTTACGCAACAACGGATGCGTCGGGATCGTAGAACTCGGTCACCACAAGCGTCTTCCCGCACAGCTCCGCAGGGGGCTTCTTGTCATTGGAGAAGTCCCTGCCGGCGACCGCCATGCCTGCTACTGCCAGCAGCAGCAAGGCCAGCGAGAGTGCGTGACGTGCCATGATTGGTTGAGGATTAGATAGAGCTTGATTGGTTGCCTGCGTATCCAAGGTAGGGTGCAACGTTCTGCTGCTTGTATTATGGGGGGGAATGGGGACTGTCTTTTATAGCGTTGGCAATTAAGGTGGGTGGAGATTACTGAACCCATCCCTGGAGCCTGGTTGACATGACCCGTAGACATGACAGTGTAAGTTGCCATTACGATATCCAGGATTGGGAGTTGCTAGTTACATGTTTGCCATGTTTGTTACGCATGCTAGCTCACTGCATCAAGTGAGCAGGCAGCTACCACACAAGTGGTAGCTGCCTGGACGGAAGCATGCCATGTATTTGGCGGTGCGGCTGCAAGCAGACAATGACAGTTGCGGGCACGGTGGTTGATAACAGTTGCTAGTGATCTGCGCGGTTGCAATCAGCTGCTGTGTGGTGCGGGGTTCTTGGTGATCTGCACGTGGATATGTGCCTAGGTGCCAGTTCCTGAAGTTGTCCGCAAGCAAAGATGTATGTATAAAGGTGTCTGCAAAGGTGGTCATAGTATTCGGGGCTAGAAGACCTTACTCCAGGTTGCAACTGTCAAGCCGTCAGGTTAATGAACGTAGCATATGCTGCCGAGAGCTCCCGGTTTGGGTTTGCCTAGTTTACATGCTGTGATGAGTAGCAGTTACCAGCCGAAACAGCGGCGTCTGTGCATCTACCGGTATGTACGGTTGTGGCGTGGGGTGTTGCAGCATTACGTACCAACTACCAAGCTTGCATGGTGAAGGGGATTAAGACGCTTCATGAGAGGGAAGAGATTTGCATGCAACCACGTGGTTGTCGCTGCTAAAGGTAATTTACGGGAGATCCTACTGATTGAACGTTACAGTTTGGTCCAACCCGGTCCTACACGGCAAGGACTGATGGACTCATAAGCAAGCCCACAAGCTGTTGGAAAAAAGCGGCTACCCTTTATTTGTTTGGGCTAGCACCGGTAGATAGGCAAACGTGGCCAGACGGCCATTTGTCATAGCCATGAATGGTCTACCCTGCTGCCCTATCTACCTGCGCTTCGCCTTGCCATATGCCAACCCGGCACCAACACTAATGAATCGGACGCCCATCATTGGCAGGGCAGTCTATGCGCATCTACGACACGCCTAAACAAACGCCGTGCCCCTACATATCCCCCTAGCTAAGCGCCTGCTGCTGCTCAGTAGTAGCACTGCGGCGCCTTGTCCAGCCTGACGGTGTACTGCCAGGTCACTCCGCCCTCCAGCACGTTCATGGAGACCACACCCGATGCGCCGCTCCACACGCCCGTGCCGCCGGTGATGGCCAGGTCGGACTTGGCGCCCTGGGGTGGGAGGAGCGACGAGTATTGCGAAGAGCGTGTGGCAGCGGTTTGGAGTTTCGGCTTCGCATGCTGTCCCTCAAGCCCTACGTACGGCAGATCCTGCATGGAGCCCTTGCAACAGTCGTGGAGGCTTGCGTGTCCCATACAACGCCCTGTAAGGCCATGGCCCCCGTCCCGCCCCACCGGGGGCGCACCTACCGTGAAATCCGGGTAGACGCCCTGCACGGTGATGGATCCGTAGTTGTCCGCTACAAAGCTGAACATGGCGTAGTAGTCGCTGCGATCTGCAGTCGCGGTGAAGGCCGTGGAGACGCCGGTGGCAACACCAATCTGGGAGGGAGGGGAGGAGGGAGCATCGGCGCGTGCATGCAGCGTGTTAGCGGGTTTTGAACCAAAGTCAAGCGACTGCCTGGCGTATTGCACTTGCATCAACTGCCAGCGTACACATAAACGATGCCTAGCAGTTTGTGTCTTAGACAGGAAACGCACAGCAGTGGGAGAAAAGGGTTGCGTTGCCTACCCTCTTTCCCGTTGGTGTGGCGCCCAGTGCTAGAGGGTTACTATAACCGGTGGTGCAGTTGGCCTCGAGGCAGCCCCTGCGGATAATCAAGGTGGACAAAAGACCCAGAGGCGGCAGGGCATTGTCACATGGCACGTAGTGTTGCATCCCACCCAATGTCCCGTGCAACTAGCCTACCGAATCCGGCATGCTAGGAATGATGACCGGGGTGGCTGCATGCAGCAACAGGCGTTCGTCCTGTCTAGACCGCTGTCCTATCAGCTGCTGCAACTGCCACTTACGCAACAACGGATGCGTCGGGGTCGTAGAATTCGGTCACCACAAGCGTCTTCCCGCACAGCTCTGCAGGGGCCTTCTTGTCATTGGAGAAGTCCCTGCCGGCGACCGCCATGCCTGCTACTGCCAGGAGCAGCAAGGCCAGCGAGAGTACGCGACGTGTCATGATGGGTTGAGGATTAGGTAGAGCTTGATGGGTTGCCTGTGTATTGAAGGTAGGGCGCAACTTTTAGCTGCTTGTATTGCACCAGGAATGGGGGCTGGCTTTTATAGCGGTGGCCGTCAAGGCGGATGGAGATTTCCTAATACATCCCTGGAGCCCGGTGGACATGACCCGTGGACATGACTGTGTAAGTTGCAATTATGGAAACTAGGGAATGGCAGTTGCTAATATCTTGCTTATTACGCATACAGGCTCGCCGTTCCATGGGTTATCACGCTAGCTGGAAGCAAGCAATCAAGTGACCGTTCAACTACAGAAACTGACGACGGTTGGGAGGGGCGGTTGGTGACAGTTGCAAGTGATCTGGACAGTTGCAAGTGATCTGGGCAGTTGCAATCAAAGATGATTCCTTCCTGGTGACCTGCACGTAAATGTGTGACTGGGAGGCATTTTATGGTCCGCTAGCAGAGATGTTAGGCTCGGTCATTGTAGTTTTCCTGTAACAAAGGTCCTAAAAGGCCCCTCGAGATGTCGTAAGGTTTCCCTTTAGGACTTATATTGTAGCCTTGCTACAGTTCCGGTCTCGCAGAGGTGACGCATCGAAACTGGCAAGCCTTTACGGTTAGTGGAGGACAGGAAGAACCAATACCAACACCATCCTCTCCACCTTGTCAACACTCTGTACCTGCATATTTCGACCTTCCAATCCAACCACCACCACGACATCCGTTCACTCCTTCCCAGCCACCTTCCTCGCCCCCAATGCTTACTTCACTACCACCACCACCACCTACATTTTCCCACACCTTTTCTTCAACATTCTCTACCCGGCCTACTTGCAACACCCGTTGCCAATTACTTTTAAGGACGCCTTCAAAGCATTGGTAACTTACTTCACCACCAGCACCCAATCTTTGTATCCCAAACCGCCCTCATGACTGTTGCTACCGCTAACTTTAGTTGCCACTCGCAAGCATCGGTGTGTCCTCCCCACCAGCGGCATCAGCATCAGCGGCAACATCCGAGGCAGCAGCAGGGGTGGCAGTAGCAGCGGCGGTAACAGCAGCAGCTGTTGCTGCTGAGAGGCCGGATTGAAATGTCTTGGAGGTGGACGCCTGTGAAAAAAGTGCGGAAAGCGAAGGAAAGGTAACGGCGGATAGCGAGCCGCAAGATGGCAAGACGCTTAGGCGTACGTACCGGTATCAACACGCAAAAGCGGCATCTGCAAAGCCCCACACAAACAACCCAACTCCCACTCGCCCACCCACCTTTGTTATCTCCCTTAGAAGCATGGTGGCATAGCAGCTGGAGGGCAGCTGGAACCGGAGCTCAAGCGCCAGCAGCGGCCCACTGCCGCTCACGGGGGGTGTTGCTGCTGCTGATGATGACACGCACCTGAAGGCCGAAGACGGCACCACCACATCACCGGCACCAGCACCATCAGCACCACCACGGTTGCTGTTGTCCGCGTGTTCCCCCTCCTGCCGCTGCTGACCTGGCTCCCCCTGCCCCTGCTGCTGCTGCTGCCCCTCTCCCACCTGCTCCCGCTGCTGCCGCTCCTCCCGCTGCTGCTGCTGCTGCCTGCTGAGCTGCTCCAGGTCGGTGGGCACCAGGGAGTCATCATTAGGGTCCGAGTACCTGGCAGGATGGGCGGGTGGGGGTGCCGGTGGGGTGCAACTGCATGAATGGTGCATGGCGCATGCACAGAGGCACAGGGGCACCAAAGCAGGGTGGGATGTGCGGTACGGGTAACGTACCTGGGTGCAGGGCCTGACTGCTGTGTTTGTAGGAACACACGAGCACATGGACATCTCAAGTAACCCACAGCGAGGGGCCTCAAGGCAGCACCTCACCGCTTAAACGCGTAGCTGAAGGCCCGGGGCCGGTGCAGCAGGTAGCGATAGTCTCCGGTGAGGGAGGCGAAGGAGAGCTCCCGGTTGGCTGGGGTGGAGGAGGTGGGGGCTGCCAGGTCCACTCCGGCCTCGGAGGCAGCCTGCGTAAGGAAGATAACAAGCAGCGCAGCCGGAAACTAAGTGTCCGCTACCCGGCCCATGGCCCATGACGGGTCATGTAGGCTGTGGTTCAAACGGGGCATTGGATGAGGGTGCGGGTGCGGGCACCGGCAATGTGCATGTAGATAGGACTCTACGGGCAAGCACCCCGCCCCACTCCACCTCACTCCCTCTGCTCCCGGCTGCCGTACCCGTACCCGTACAATCTCACCTGCCGCATCCACGCGCCCGTTTCGTGCTCCGGATACGACACTTCCGTACCAGGCAGCGGCAGAACGACATCAAACACGTCGTACCGCCCAGCCGCCACGTCAGCCTCCGTCACCACACGCACCGCCGATAACCGCCCCGCGGCGCTCGTCGTCGTCTTGGCTGATGCTGCCCCCTCAGCGCCCTCAGCGGCGGCGGCGTCCTCCATTTCGTAATCGACGTCTCCGTCGCCGCCGCCGCCGTCAGCGGCCATCAGCGCTGCATCCTCAACATCATCGCCGTTTGTCGTACTTGCCCCATGGCGGCGGCGGGGCAGGACCAGGTCTCCGACCACCACACGCTCGTGGCCGTAGTGCCGTATCCTGTCGTTCACGCAGCGGTTACCACATTAGGGCGGCATCATCCAATACACACACACATATACAGGCACACACGCGACCGGTTTTCTTAACACACACGCGTGCAACCTCACGGCGATTGACCAACCATCCACAATCAACCACCTCCCAACCACCCATCCGTACCCCGTATCTATGACTTTCCTTCACCGCCGTACAAACCCCCCATCAACCCGCACACCTGTGGCTCGCCGCCGCATTCCAGAGGGCACTCTGCCATGCGTGTAGGTACATCATCCGCAGTGTGCGGGGGACCGACAGCATGGCAGCACTCCAGCAAGAGGAGGAGGAGGAGGAGGAGGCAGGGGCGGCGGTGGGGACTGCCTGAGTCAGGGGGGCGGCGGAGGCGCCCTGGCCCTGCCCCTGCGGGTGCCCCTGCCGCGCTAACGCGCCCAGCACCGCCCGTTCAGCCAGCATGAAGGGGGGAATGCCGCGTAGGGCGCCCTAGCAGCAGCAGCAGGTGGGCGGCGGCGGCGGCGGAGAAAGCAACGAGTTGTCACAGAGTTCTGACTTCTTTGGTCGGCACATACTTGTACGTGTCCTTTACTTCGGACATACTTGAAATTTTTTGCGTGTTACTGCGCTTGTTGTTGTACCCGGTATAGTACAACAACTCTGACAAGCAAGCATGCACTGTATGCTGGGAACATTCGAATGTCCGTTGAGTCGACGCGATGACAATAGTGGCAGGGCAATGGCAGGATGGCAATGACGCGCCAGCCTACCTTGACATCTCCCTTCTCGAAGAACAGCCGTCGAGCCGCCGCAATGTCCGGTCGCTCGTCAGGTCGCCCCGTCAGCACCATCCGTACCGCATGTTCGTACTCGCCTCGCAACAGCGCTCGACCCACCTGCGGGCAGCAGGAACAGCGGGGCAGTCGCAGTGACAAAACCAGGAGGAGCGTGCTGCAGAACCGGCAGCTTACCGGTAATCCCAACCCGTCGAAACACGTCACCATGACTGTCCACTACGCTCTGCTAGACTACGCCAATCCTGCGAAACTGGGTTGCGCTTGGCGATAGCGACACCAACAACGCCAACACCACACCAAAAACATCGACAGCAGCAGCGAGGGTAACAGGAAGCAGCACGCAACACACACCTGATGGGTAGGCGCGCCGCCCGTTCCAAAGCGCTGCAACCCAAAGTAGTTGATGAAACCGTTGCGAGCAACCGCCTCACAAGCCGTCGCCACCTCCGCAATCACCTCCTCCACCGCAGCAGCAGCCGCAGTGCTGCTGCTGCTGCTGCCAGCTTCCCGCTGCCCCTGCGGCTGCTGCAAGTGACCCGTGGGTCGTACGTCCCTCATGACCAGGTGGAACTCGTTGCCTGCCAGCCGCCCCAGTCGAAGTCCCTCCTCGGCGAAGGAGAAGTCGCCCAGACGAATGCCGCGGAGGCGGGAGTTGAGGGCGGCTAGGCGGGAGGCAGACACCTTCGGGCATGGCGGGAGGAGGAGGAGACATGGCGGGAGGAGGAGGAGGAGACGAGGGACGCGTTGGAGGCGTACGCGGTGAAGGAGAGGATCGTAGGGATTGGGAAGGTTGAAGAAGGGAACGTCGCTGTCACATCGTACCCCTTCCCCTGTCACGCCTGTTCCCGTGTCCCTCATATCCAACACCTTCCATGCCACCTCATGTCTAAACTCCTGTCACGTCAGTCCCCCGCTTGTCCACTCCCTCACCACCAACCTGATCCCGTAGGGTGGAGCTCAGTCGCGTGGACAACTGTGTTCCTCCGTACCCACCTTGAACGCCGTGACGAACTGGCAGGTGACCCCCCGCTTGTCCTTGGTGCCTGCGAACCCGAAGCAGCCGCCGCTAGGGATGCCGGCCAGCCGCCCCACCGTGCTCAGGGCAACCTGGGAGCGTGTGTGACAGCGTGAAAGGGAGGTAAACGGTAAACTAAACGGTACTAAATCCGGAAGGAGTTAAAGTCGCCCTTAGGGAGAGAAAGGTGCCCCGTCTCCTAGTGCTCAGAGCTCAATGCTAAAGCGTATTAAGTGTTAACTCTTAGGCCGCGTAACTGTGTACCGTACAACGACCCCGCAACCAGCCCACCTGCGTGTCCATGTTTTCCTTGTACAACACGAACCGCAGGAAGCGTCTTGAGCCGCCCTCCCACTCCGCCCCACTGGTTCCCGAACCGCCTCCTCCACGGCCCCTTCCTCCCCGTCCTCCTCCACGACCTCCGCGTCTGTCGTTTTCCCGCCCTCGCCCGTGTCTCCCCTCCTGCTGCTCCCCTGCTGCTGCCGCTGCTGCCCCCTCCTCCAGGGCCAGGTCAGCCGGGTCAAACACAACCTGGATGCAGGTGGCGCCTTGGGACTGCGACTGGGACTGGGACTGCTGCTGCTGCTGCTGCGATGTGGTGAGTGGCGGGTGGGCGGGATCGGCAATGCAATCGGCGTGAGAGCAGGGGGCTGCGCAGGAGCGGTAAAGTTTGAATTCTAGCGGCAGGTACGCTACCGGACATCAATACAAAGCAAGCCTCCCTTCCAGCCTCTCCCTCTACCTACCCACCCCCCCGTAACAGGAGCACAGCACACACCTGGCTACCGCCTCTTCCACCTCGACCACCCCTCCCGCCTCCCCTTCCTCCTCCTCCTCCTCTGCCTCCGCTGCCGCCCCTCTGCCACTTGCTCGGTCGCTCGCCCTCTGCCTCCGCCCCTTCAGCCCCTCGCTTGATGCCGCCCTCCGCAGCTCCAGCAGCTCCTGCAGCACCAACACCGCTTCCACCGCCGCTGCTGCCTCCTGTCACCGCCGCCGGCGCTGCGGCTGCGGCTGCTCCCTCCCCCACTACTTGAGGCTGCTGTGCAGGCTGCTGCTGCACCTGCTGCTGCTGCTGCGAAGGCGGCTGTGGGACGCTTTCAGAGCGCAGTGGCGGGAGTCCCGAAGTGGTCCGAAAGAACTCATGGACGGCCTGGGTGGAATCATGGGATAGGCAGGGTTAGTGCGAGTGGATGTTCGTCCAAGTCAGCTGGGTGGCGATGGCAAGTGATGAATGCTAGGTATCCCATTCCATGGCTATGTTGGTTTTCCCTCTTTTACACCCACCCTGCGGACGTCCTTGTTGGCGATGGGGTGCAGAACCACCGACACCACTCCCAGCACTCCGCTGCTGCTGGCGTTCTTGCCACTGCTGCCGCCGTCAGGGCTGACATCCGCAGGAGCAGCAGCAGCAGCTGTTGCCTCGATAGCAGTAGGAGCAGCAGCAGGAGCAGCAGCAGGAGCAGGTTCCGCGGGCTCTCCAACTGCCGCGTTCGCCGCTGCCCCTGTCTCAGCAACAGCAGTAGCAGCAGTAGCTCCAGCTGCTGGGGCCTCAGGCACTGCTACCGCCGCTTCTGCTACTGCTGCCGTACCCGTACTGCTGTTGCCGTACATCTCAATTACCCGGCCAAGCAGCTCGTCCAGTACGGCACCGTTTTCCTGTCCCGCCAGAGCTGCGAATGCGGCCACAAGCTGGGCTCGTTCAGCTGGCAGGCGGGCGGGCTGGAAGGGCTGCCGGGGTACATTGGGGCCGCTGCTGCCATCCTGAGGATTCGACGGTTCGGGAACCGGGGTTGGTTGGGGAGCATGGGAAATGAAGCAAGGGAAGGGGCCCGGGGGCCTGGATACCAGTAACATCTCTCTTGCAACACTGAACGAGCAACGGGAAACGTATCATGCCATAACAGCATGATCATGCATGTTTGCTGCTAGGAGACAGCTCTCCCGATCACCCGTACCAGCAAACCCCAGTCACATGTTCGCTATGCCGTCCGACAGTGCAGTTGCTGCGGCGGCTGCCTACCTTGACCGGGGGCTCCAGAGTTGTCAATCGCGCCACATGACCCTGCGGGTCAACCTCCCGCACCTGGAAGTCGCGGAACCTGCGCCAATAGAATGCAAAATATTGCATCTCATACCAAACCCCCTAGAGTACGCATATTGGGCTTCGAGCAGAAGCAGTGAAATGGCAGAGGTTGCTCGGCGGCGCAATTGAACCTAAAGTGCAAGGTATAATACGCGTTGGTAAACGTCTTTTGGACCAACCTATGCTTAAGGATGCCGCTAAAGCTTCCATGCTGCGATACAAACTCAGTGATGCCGACATCGGCTTCCTCTACTGAAGTGGCCATCGGTCCTTATGCGGATTGTGTCGCCGGACGTCAATGCCGAAGAACGTTTTGGCATTGTGAGCTTGCTAGGTATACGCATGTACGGGTCGTAGCACGACTGGCGGGATCACAACTACCCCTTGCAGTCAGTTAGTCTTAGGACGTTTTTCAAAAAGGAGCTACAACGCCTTTTTGTGCCCGAATGATCACTCCTGTGGGTGCGGAGGTCAGCGTCTTGTTCGCTATCGCATTCGCCTTGCCTTGCACACATGTTGCATACTCTGCTGTTCTTGTTGCAAATCATGGAAATCGAAGCACCCTTGTTACCGTTACCTGCTCTCGTTTTCCCTAATGATTTCGTTCTGATCTGGGTGAAGGGAAAAAGAGGTGATCGCGCCCCCGAACACCCGCCCTGCCCATATTTGCGCAATTTTCCTGCATAAGGTCCTCAGTTATAGTATGGTGGTGATAAAACACCCTGTAATTACTACCGTCTTACCGTACTGTGCCGTGATGAAGATAGGCTGCGACTGTACCGGTAACGAACGTTGTGTGTGCACGGAAGCACTTGGTCGAATCTCCTCAATCTGAACATCTATTTAGTCTAGTAATATATTGAATAGCCCAAAATGGTCAGCTTCGCAACACGCGAGGGTAGCCAAGTCCCTTTTAGCCAGGCATCGGCTGGCTGCGGCGCGTCTTCTGGACTGAAGCCCGACAACTTTCGTTTCTGGTCAGCGCGAGCAGCGCCGCTGGGGAGTGGTGCACCGCTTGCGTCGCTGTCCCAATCCATCCTCTCTGGCCTCGGTCGCCCTGGCAAGGAAGGTGGCAGGGCTGAGCCAGCTACCGGCTATGAATTTCCGCTGGAGTATTGCTACCTAAGGACAAAGCAGTGTCCCAGTTTGGCAGGACTGGGGTAGGTACATTCGCGTCACCCCGTCGCGCTCTTGTCGCGTGCGCGCTGCTGCTCGCTGAAAGCTTTCGCTACAGTTTTAGGCGCGTATTTTTTGGTGGCCAGTATTGCGTATACCTCCATTGGTTTCAGGTTGCGTGGGCGTTACAGCGTGATAACTGACATCAAGCGTCCACGTACTTCTTCCTGCCAGGAACCTCATTTATGCATTAATACCGGAAGCTTATTCAGTTACTAAATGGGCCAAAGCTAAGCAATTAATGCACAACGCAATCCTTCCCTCCACATCCAACCATCCATCCCCATCACGCGACCCTGCAGGGTGCGGAGCAAGCGCATTGTTATCAAAGACATCAACGGTAAGCATGGCCAGCAGCAGCAACAACAACAGTCGCATCCTAGCCTGTGCAGCGACACACACAAATTCAACGCTGGCCCTTGCCCAACACAAAGCCCACCCGCCTTCCTTACTTCCCTGCCCTCACCTACCAATACCACCCTATCAGCACACGGCGCGCCCCCTCTGCCCCAATGCTGGCTCCTCTGCCCCATTGCTGACCCCCATATCTGTCTCTCCTCTTAACGCTGATCCCACCCACCCTCCGCCCCGTTGCAGTCTACGCGCTGGGCATCTACGTTGACGCGACGGCCGCTCGCTCCTCCCTGGCCGCCTTCAAGAAGCGGCCCGCGGAGGACTTGGAGCGGGACCAGGCCTTCTACGATGGTGGGTACGAAGGAATACTAAGGAAGCGATATTGAGGGTACCCGGTGCACGCTGTTGCGTACGATGGCGGGCGCAGTTACCGTGTGGGGTTGCTCATCGTAAACGTGGGCGTGCATGAATGCGCTAATCAAGGTGCTAAACTCGCCCCTTACCCCTTGGCCGTCCCATCCCGCATCCCGCACCCCCCCTGCGCCCATGCATGCACAGCGGTGGTGTCCTCCCCCAACGTGGAGAAGACGCTGCGACTGGTGATCAGCTCACGACTGGTGGATAACAAGTGAGGGAGGGGCTGCATGGGGGTTACATGGAGGGCAGCATGCACCGCAGGGGAGCTTACACCTCAGCGAAGTATGTATGCGTCTCAAGGGAGCTTGTAGCGAATCAGGCAGGGTTCGAGTTCAGCTCTTGCGGAAGAGGAGCCGGTGCGGAGTGGTCATAGGCTTACCGATACACCGGCAGTGATACCGGTAGTACACGCGGCTCTTGCTACTTAGCTGTTTTTTGGCTTTGGGTTTGTTCCCGACACCCTTCAGGAAGTTCGTTGAGGCGCTTGAGGAGCAGCTGGTGCCGCGACTGAAGAAGGTTGGTTGGTCGGTTATTTGGGAGTTCGTTGTACGGCTGGGAATTTGGGAAACCCTCGATTCGGTGATGCGGTTAGGGGATAACCGTGCCATGCTATCTTCCTGGTCTGGTCAATACAACAGCAGCCTGGACGTCCGTGCTTATTACCACAGAGCCGTTTGAAGCAGCACTGCGAGTAATCCTCGTACGCTAGTCCTACATCGTACTGTAATCCCCTGCAGGCGGGCGAGCCGGGCGCCATTGACGCTTTCCGGAACCAGTTCGACCGCATCAGTTTCTCAGAGGTGCGGAGGAGGGAGTGAGGTGCGGAGGAGGGACGGAGGGAGGGAGGGAGCACAAGACGACAGAACGTGGTTGGAGGGAGCGGCAAAAGGATGCGGCAGTTTAATTGCTTCTGGCATATGGGGCATCCCGTGTGTCGGCGCCCAGTTTAGTCTTTTTCCTGTCTTCCGAGGAGGTGTGAAGTCCGCCTGCTATTCTGCACTTTGCTATCATTACAAACGAACCAAAAAACACGCCCCCCTACCCGCCCATACCATCCAACCACAACCCCATCTGCTGCCGTCCTTTCCTTTCCTTCCTCCTACCGGTCAGGGCATGGAGGTCGTGTTCAGCAGCACGGATAACAAGAACCTGGCAGTCAAGGTGGCGGGGGAGCAGGTGAGGAAAACGAGGATCAACAACAGACCCATGGGTCAGCAGCCGTCTCCCTGTCTACGTTGCGTTTCCCTACAAGGGGTAGCTATCGGTAGACCAGCAGCAAGCAGGATACCAGCACTGTACACGGAAAATGGGCACACCGTCTCTGAAGGGACGGCCTACTGGCATTCCAAGCGCATTTCTCCTCTCCTTCCGCCATCAATACCGGTCTTAACAATCCGTTCCCCTCTCTCCTCCCTCACCATCATGAACGTCCAGAAGGGCGTCATCTGCTCCCCCGCGCTCTGCTCCTCCCTGTTCGACATCTACCTGGGGTCAGACCCGGTGTCCAAGGACGCCAAGGCCACCTTCGGACGCAGCCTGGCGGCAGCACTCAAGGAGGACAAGTAGGCGACTTGGAGTGGGATGTAGGTGGGAGGTAGGAGGTAGGGAGCAGGAGGCAGCAGATAGGAGGTAGGAGGAAGCAGGGTGTTGGTACTCAGTAGCTATGCTGTCTAGCTGGCGTTTGGATGGCTTGAAGAAGTGTATATAGTTAGACGGTAACGCGCCATGCAATCAAGTGAGACCTTGCATGCAGCTGCACGCCAATGTGTGGGCTTACACGGTAATCTGTGCTGTACTCATGGTCCCTGATGGTTGAGGGCGAAAAGTCTGGTAACCTTGCAAGAGCGGCTGTAGTGTTGCGTGGCTTTTGACATGCCACATGATGAGGGGGAGTGCCGTACGTTCCGTTATCCGTGCCGGATGCGGCTGTCGATTGGTCGTGAAGCCAAAGACCTGGACTGCTGTACCAGGCAACATTGCTGGACCGGACTGACGTGGACTTGTCAAACTGCCGGAGAAATTGTTGTTGACGTTGGTGCACCCTGAAAACGGATACGTGTTCTGTTTGGGATGTCAGTTGGATGCCGAAGCAGCACCGTAAACGACGAAGCTGCTTTAAGCTCTAGGCGGCACGTTATTCATTCCAAACCATGCACGACATGCCCAGCTACATGCACTCCTGTGGCCGCTGTCGTACACCTACTGTCGTACTGTCGTACGCCCACGGGTCCGACGGTGAGTACGGTTAGGGATGTAGGGAGGGAAGGATTGATGATCCCCGGAGCCAATGTGGGATATGGAGGACTAGAGCTATCAGGGGGCTCAGAAAGTACGGTGCCTTGTTGTTGAGCAGCAGCCACACCTACCAGGGCGGAGGTTACCCTTTTCCATAGCTGAATGATACAGAGGTTTTCCGGCGGGAGGGGAACAGGGTTGTTCAACTCATTCCTATACTGCAAGAAAAGGGGAACCCCCTTAGAGCATAGCCCCTGCTGGGGTTCCGGACGGCATCTGGGGCCCACTGAGATGTCCGTTGGGTCACATGGGGTGTGGGGTAGGTATGCGAACTGCTCACAATTCCGTACGCATAATCCACTTGACCAAGCGCCGCTTTGCTTCTCTCAAACTAACGACCGTGATAAAACTCCGCCCGTCCTCCCAACCAAAACGTTCTCACGCATACATTGTAACCATTGTTCAACACCGCTGCCATCCGTGTCACAGTTACACGGCGACGGAATCGTCGACGCCCTAGCCCCTGGGTTTGGCATCATGACAGTATTACCCAATCACCAACACGGCTATTCGGCTGCTAGCTGCCCCTGCACCCATGCACGCACCTCCTCACCCCGGAAGCCAGGTGGCGCCAAGTGCAACACAGCATCCCAATCCACGGCACTGCAGCCGCCCTCCTCCTCAGCCAGCCAACGCAGCACGGGGAGCTGCCAACCGCCCCGCACGCCGAGTAGGAAGAGCTCCTCATCTGGACAACCCAACCTCCGCAGTGCTCGCATCGTGGCAATGTCGCCATTGTCTGCGGCTTCCGTGTAGCAGAACCAATAGGAGTTCGTCTGGATGGGGCAAAAGGACAAGTGGGTTCAGCTTCCTCAAAGCTGGAAAAGGGCGGAGCCCCTCCTCTTCAGTACGGGAACGTATTATTACCACTGGGATGAATGCGATTATTACAAGGGAGTGGAACGACTCAAGTGCGACGCACAACCCTATGGGCCTTATAGACCTGGAATGCGCTCCTGTGGCTCCACGGCACTTTCGCATTCTAACACACCTTGTTACACGGACGCTGAACCCCCTTGTTTACTGTAGTTTAGTGCTCGTTGCATGGCTAGACGGGCTCAAAGCCCCTTGTCCAGCCGAGGCCGGCCGCCTTGTTCACCCATGGCGTACATAGTGTCCTCACTCATTGCACACATTGTTAGGTTACGCCTGCACACATTGTTAGGTTACGCCTGTTCAATCGAGTACTTAGTAACGTCTTATCATGCTTGATAACACCCACGCATTAGGCTACAGAACCCAAATCGACGGCGTAACTGCCACATGGGAGTGCTTTCAGGGTCCCGCAGGTCGTTAGGGTTTCACCTACATTACTAACATGATGAGGAGGTCAGGCTCGGCAATCTCGGCATCGTGCTCAGGAGGACTTCAGCCATTGCGCCGTCACATGACATGTTAGCTTATAAGCGAGGTACCCCGTACCCGTTTGCGTTACAGTTCATACGCACAAACCCATAGCAAAGGCTGGCAACATCGTCACAAAGGATTGTGTGGGCTCTGAGTAGCACAGTAGATGCGAGCATGCTCCCGCCGGCTTTCACAAGTAGCCCTTTGCCGGCACGCCGCTGTTACCAATTCACTAAATGCTGTTTACGGTACCAGGACACACCAAAGAGGAGCGCTAATCGGTGTTGCCGAGGTGGTCCTTTTCGATGGCTGGTCAATACCGGTAAATTGTTTATTGCGAAATCAAGTTTTTTTGGCTTCCAGTTATTTTTACTGAATACAGATAACGAATATCTATTAGGTGCAATTAATAGTTTTGTCTAGTTTATATGTTTTGACGTTACGGACACACGGACACACATGGCGGGGCGTGCCAGGGGGGGGCCGTCGCAACTTGGGTTGTGGGCTGTGGTGGGGTTTGGGGGGGTGTTGTTTCCCCATGCTGCCTTCCCGTATATGCCTCCAACTTGCTCTCTATATTGCGCACAGCGCCCCACCCAATCGCCCTGTCGCTTGCCACCTTTGTCCGACTCACCCTCTATCAAGCTACGCTCCACGCACGCGCCATCAAACATGCGGTGGCCTTCCACTCGCCCTCGCTCACATGCCGTACCTCCTACTACTCGGCTTCACTCTCTTCTTTTGCAGTAAGCGAAGGTACCGCTATTCATAGACAAAGAAATAGTTATGCACTACTTCAAGCTGGCTTCCCCGTTTACTTTGCTTCGATTTACTATCATAGCATCTTACGAGTTCCACCTTAGATGGCCAACCGGCTTCTGTTAGCGTCAGGATGTCAGGGTGTCTACATGGCTGGTTATACTTCGTTGTATCCGTGTGCAAGTCGAGTCGACTCCTTGCTTGAAGTCGGGATGTAGTCGCACTCGCCTGCGGTGCTCTTTAGCGAGGGTCTCCTACATGGCTCAGGCGCCACATGGCAAGTTCAAATGCTTCATTTTGATAACGTGTTGTGGCCTTTCGCGATACGTACATCAGTCAACCTAAGACAACGTTATCGTCCTGCTAACAGCTCAATTAATACATCATAAGTTCAGACATCATAAATGCTATGCAGAATAGCTTGGTTCGGACGTGGGTTAGTGGTTGTCGAAAGTTGCTTTGGCATCGCAGTATGCTCGGGTCCGTTTTGCCTTTCAATCGTCTGTACTTAAGCCCTGGCAGATATATGAGTGCGTACCGTTTTGTTTTCGCGGCAACCCGACACTGTCGCTGGAGTAAAAAGGCAAGTAGTGACAATTGTCGTACTAAAAACGGACGTAGGATGTCCTTTTTTCGGAGGGCCTTGTTTGCCAACTTTAGATTATCGCGCCTTACTATTACCAGCTTTGCTAGTCCTTTATTATCTATCTGCAAATCGGGCTGAACTGCATTCGTTAGTAGGGCTGTGGAAATGTCAGGCCCACATCGTATCGCCCAGCATGCCACCCGTGTTGCTTGCTGCACACGTGCATTCAAGACGCCTTAAAATGAACACGCTCACATGGCGGCCCTACCAGTAAAGCGGGGTGGCTTGCATGCGTGTGTGGGTTGCATGGGGCAAAGAGCGGGGCAAGTAAAGCAGGGGTGCGGGCATGCGTGTGTGGATTGCATAGGCCGAGGGGGTGTGTACAGCGGGGTTGCTTTGCATGCGTGTGTGCATGGGTTGCATGGGATAAGGGGGTGAGTAAAGCGGAGTTGCTTACATGCGTGGGTTGCACGGTGCTAGGGGGCGAGTAAAGTGGGGGTGCATGCATGCGTGCGTGGGTTGCATGGGCCAAGGGCGCGAGTAAAGCGGGAATGCATGCATGTCTGCGGGCGTGGGTTGCATGGGGCGAGGGAGCGCGTAAAGCTACGGGTGCTTGCATGCGTGCGAGTGTGGGTTGCATGGGGTGAGGGGGCAAGTAAAGCAGAGGTGCTTAAATGCGTGCCTGTGTGAGTTGCATGGGGCGAGGGGGCTAGTATTAGAGGGGGTGCATGCGTGCGTGCACGGGTTGCATGAGGCAAGGGGGCGAGTAAAGCGGGGGTGCGTGTATGAGTTGCATGGGGCGAGGGGGCGAGTGAGCGGGAATGCATGCATGTCTGCGGGCGTGGGTTGCGTGGAGTGAGGGGGCGCGTAAAGCTATGGTGCTTCCATGCGTTCGAGTGTGGATTACGTTGGGCAGGAGGGCGCGTAGTGTGGCGGTGCGTGCATGCGTGCGTGGGTTGCATGGGCCAAGGGCGCGAGTAGAGCGGGAATGCATGCATGTTTGCTGGCGTGGGTTGCATGGGGGAGAGGGCGCGTAAAGCTACGGGTGCTTGCATGCGTACGTGCGAGTGTGGGTTGCATGTGGCGAGGGGGCGGAGATGCTTGCATGCGTTCATATGTGGGTTGCATTGGGCGAGGGGGCGAGTAAAGCGGGGGTGTGTGCATGCGTGCTGCGCGGGTTGCACGGGGCAAGGGGGCGAGTAAAGCAGGGGTGCGTGCATGCGTGCACGCGTGGGTTACATTGCGCTAGGGGGCGAGTAAAGCGGGGGTGCGTGTATGAGTTGCATGGGGCGAGGGGGCGAGTCAACGGAAACGCATGCATGTCCGCTGTCGTGGGTTGCGTGGAGTGAGGGGACACGTGAAGCTACGGTGCTTCCATGCGTGTGAGTGTGGATTGCGTTGGGCAGGAGGGCGCGTAATGTGGGGGTGCGTGCATGCGTGCGTGGGTTGCATGGGCCAAGGGTGCGAGTAATCCGGGAATGCATGCATGTCTGCTGGCGTGGGTTGCATGGGGGAGAGGGCGCGTAAAGCTACGGGTGCTTGCATCTGTGCGAGTGTGGTTTGCATGGGGTGAGGGCGCGAGTAAAGCGGAGATGCTTGCATGCGTTCATTTGTGGGTTGCATGGGGCGAGGGAGCGAGTATTAGAGGGGGTGCATGCGTGCGTGCACGGGTTGCATGGGGCAAGGGGGCGAGTAAAACGGGGGTGCGTGTATGGGTTGCATGTGGCGAGGGGGCGCGTGAAGCTACGGTGCTTGCATGCGCCCGAGTGTGGATTGCGTTGGGCAGGAGGGCAAGTAATGTGGGGGTGTGTGCATGCGTGCGTGGGTTGCATGGGCCAAAGGTGCGATTAAGCGGAAATGATTACATGGCTGGTGGCGTGGGTTGCATGGGGTGAGGGGGCGCGTAAAGCTACGGGTGCTTGCATGCGTGCGAGTGTGGATTACGTTGGGCAGGAGGGCGCGTAGTGTGGGGGTGCGTGCATGCGTGCGTGGGTTTCATGGGCCAAGGGCGCGAGTAGAGCGGGAATGCATGCATGTCTGCTGGCGTGGGTTGCATGGGGGAGAGGGCGCGTAAAGCTACGGGTGCTTGCATGCGTGCGAGTGT